TTTTGTACCATTCTCAGAACCAGGGCCACTCAGCAAGTTTAATATCCTTGAACCAAAAGATCAACAAGAGCCGAAAAATAATAACTTTTATGATCAAACCCTCAATATTATCAGTAACGGTGAAACTACACAGTTATCGAATACTCGCAAGGGAACAGCAGAGTAAGTACAATTATCCATTCGATCTGATAATATAAAATCCCAATATCTTTATGCTATTGATGGTTTTCACGTCGGCCATGTTGGAGGACTTTAACAAAAGAATTGTCAAGAATTCTTTTGTTATATCCTCCAACATGGCCGCAGTGTCTTTTGTTATTTAATTCTCTTGGGAATGGTTGAAAACAATCAACTTATGAGGTTGTTTTTCCGTGGCCTTAATGATTGCGCATGCATACCATGAGATTACGCGACGCATAATTAACGAAGCAAAAATCATGACTGAAATGTTCATTTTGCAGCTTATATCCAGAAGGTAAGCCAACTCCGTTAGAAACACCAGTACAGACTTGGACCACTAGAAAGACGGAAGTAGATCGTAAGGTAATCGATGATGTCGGTGTATTCAATTGAAATGTTAGTGCATGCCAATTTGTTCAGTAAATTTGACTTTGGACGGGAGGACGAGAAGGGAGGAGGAAAAAGGGATGATGGGTATTCATATTTTTAACTATATGCCAGTCATTTTTTAATTTTAGGATCCAGCTTGGAGCCACTTTCAAATTCTACCAGGCCATCCTCCGGGGAAAAATCCCTTTTTTGACAAAGAGACCCAAATAGAGGAGAATCCACCTATTAGTGAGCAAAAGGAAAATGATAGTCTGCCCAGCAATATACAGTATCAAGAAAAGTCAGAAAATAACGCTGAGATGACCAATGGAAAAACCCATGCGATCAAATGGAACCCTTTCAACCTCAGTTACCCTGTGAAAATAGAAAGTGGGGGCGCGAGGGAAAACTCTCTAGGGTGTGGTCAAGAAACAGCATGGAGAACATTTCTGAAGGGGTCTAGAATACTCTCCTCTGATCCACTCCAGGTAAGCCATTCGTTCAAGTCATGTTCACATAAAGTCGAGTTCAAATGTCTTAGACAAAAAAAAAAAAAAAAAAAAAAAAAAAAAAAAAAAANCGAGGGAAAACTCTCTAGGGTGTGGTCAAGAAACAGCATGGAGAACATTTCTGAAGGGGTCTAGAATACTCTCCTCTGATCCACTCCAACTAAAGCTTAATTTTGGCGAATGCTATTAAAATTTGGAGTTCAAAAGTAAAAGACAAAAAAAAAAAAAAAAAAAAAAAAGGAAAAAAAGAAAGGAAAAAAAGGAAAAAACAACCACATGTATGCAACTGTATACGTGCTTGATTGCATTATGGAATATTTTCGCTCGATACTAGTTTCATCTCTATAAAGGCGTTCAGATAATCCCATTTTTACTTTTAGGCATTTGCAACAAATCAACACATAGACGATCCTGCAAATCTGGGCGTGCCTTTTGAAATAGAGGAAGCACCCGAGAAAATCGTTACTCCTGAGCAAGGTCAGTTTTTAACAATACAATATATATAAAAGAGAAATTATTGTATACAGTACTCGGCAATAGCAAAGTGACCCAACCGATTCAATTTGCTTTTAACATGATCATATATTACTGATACAGAAGCTGGAAATTCCAAGATAACTAACGATAGTTTTACCCCAGAGTCGGAAGTGCGTGGATCGTTTCACCATGAAGCTCTCAAGGAGGTGAGACTTGAATATGCAGAGTAACTGTAGTCACGAGCCTCACCAAGTCATATACTGACATCGCCTCAGAACTATTCAATAATTTACCAAATAATATAAAAGACATTTCTAGTTATAGTTTATTTTGTTCAAAGGTGAAAGCAGAGCTAAAGAAGCGATATTACATTACTTGATTTATTTATCAATTAATTTATCTTTTATCTAATTGGTGGATGTTGGAGCTGCGCTTCGGTGACTTTGAGTGATTGTTTTTGGGTCGTGCCATTTGGGTCAGTTTCTTTTGTCTGCAGCCCCGGATGTCTCGGCCTGAGGCGGTTGCTTGGGGGCGGTGGAGCGTACCCCCAATATCTGACATTTTATCTTTTTCTTTCACATATAATTATAGCATCGCTTTAGAATTAATCAATAAGAAATTTCCAATAATTTTCAATCTTAYTTCTTATCTTTGTCTAAAATTTGTCTATCTTATAGTTTCATAGTTTATTATTGTAAGCTTATCTCGTGTGTGTGTTATTGTATATTAGATAGTTTATCAATAGGTGAAGAGCCACCTCGTGGATTCTATTGATTAAACCGTTATTATTATTATTATTATTATTATTATTATTATTATTATTATTATACTGAACGTTATCATCATCGTTAACAACCATTGCTATTCATTATCATTGTAAATCATCATAATCATCATCGTTTTTTTTATCGCCATTCTCGTTATCACCATCATTATTGTGTTATCATCATTTTTCATTACCATGCATGATCCTCCTCTTCCTTGTATATCACTTATCGTAGTTTTCTATGACTGGATTTCAAAACTAGGTAATGGACCTAGAAAGAGATGATCAATCAAGCGAGCTGACATCTTCTTGGTCGTCCACACTTACAGGTTAATATCTATACCCTTTGGAAAATCAAACCGTTTGTAATTGTTCTGGCGGATTGTATAAGAAAACTGATATGAAAAATTAAATCTTATGGCTTATGAATGAGCAAACTTTCGCATTTAGATGAGACTGAGGGCAACAGGCTGGAAGCATTTGACGACCATGAAGCTGATAAAGCTATTTCAAGTAAGGTAGGTCATATTGTAGACACACTAGATAGCAAGTTGGATTGATAGGTACACTTTCCGTCTATATTGTTAGAGCTTTGTCCTTTCCAATACTTTATCTTCAGAATTCCCAATTAGAGTCTGAAAGTATTGAGAAATGGCAGTCGATGGGATCAATGTCATCTACAATAAAAGCTAGTCCTCAGTTGGAAGGCCTCACTTCAAATGTCCATTACCAAGTGAAAATCAATGATAACCAAGGTGAAAAGCTTACTATGAGTCCAACAGCATTTTTAAAGTGCACAGAAAGCATAGATTTCTTTGATGAAGTCAAAGACAGAAAGGCTAATTCAAGAGAAGATTTGGGTCAAGAAGGTTGTACTGAAGGCCACCCCGGTAAGGTGGAGTCTAATGTCAGTGAAGGTGGAAGAGGCCAGTGCCATGATGATAGAGAACAAATCCAGGCAACAGAGAAACTTGGGAAAAAGTTGGAATCATCACCAAAACAGGTTCAAAGTATGAACCAAGAAAAAGGAACTCAGACACAAAAAGCGGAATGTTTAAAAATGAGGAAGCACAGAGAAACTGATACGCAAACGACTGAACAAGGAACTCAAACAGAAAGCGATATATTCTATAGAACGTGCGGACGTGACGCAAAAACTACTCAAACAGAAAACGATAAGTGTTTGGAAAGTGCTCAACAAGAACTAATCACACCTCCAAAGGATAAGCTGAGTGAGACAGGAAATGAAGTAGAGACAATACCTATAACGAAAATAGATGGTTGTCCCTGTGGAAATGACATAAACAGATATCCGGAACTTTTTGCAGCAAAACAACTCAAACAAGGAAGTGACGAACAGGAAGTCAAGAAGAAAAAGAAACGCTCGGTTAACGTTCAAATACCTTCTAGCACGCACGTAATTCTAGATAACCTGCAATCGAACGTTGTGTTAGATAACGATGACGTCTTATCGAATGAGAGGAATATTAACTGGTATCTTTCTTTATTAATAAATATTTTAACTTGCGACGCTGATTGTTACAGCTTCAATGGCGGCGTAAATTAAACTGTTAAATATGAGTTTGCACTGCGGCAGCACTCTGTCTTCTTCCTCATACTCATGGGATATTAGATGTTCACATTGGATCGCATTTCAAATTTGTTTTAAAAATAAAGGTGTATTTGTCAGGGCACAGTGTGTAACTTCATATGTTTAGTTTCACTTTATTCATGGATGTTTACAGATCACTTCGATCATATGATGCGGTCTTGACCGTGCTGTTGTTAGGCAGATATATATTTCCAGTCTGTAGCCTTGATTTAGATTATTGTAAGAGTTCATTTGTTTTATTATAGTTTCTTTGTGTGAAGTACATTTGTTTACTGTGCTTGAAATCACGTATATCATCTAACAAAGCGGAAAATGATCACGTGACTTGCCTGTGGCGCATATTATCGTACATGACTTGTCTAGAATTTGCGGAAACATATTTAGCCAAAAAGAAAATTCCAACAAACTCCAATCTTTTGGTTTTTGCCAAAATATTTCGTTTCGAAACAAAAAAACAAAACAAAACAAAACAAAAACAAAC